CCTCATTACTTCATGCTACAATTTGCTACCATGTGATACTGAACTGTTGAGTTGTTGTTTTTCTGTTTTTAACATTTTATTTAGGTGAACTAAAGGTTGCGGGATTACTGCTTACACTCCAACTGTCTGCTGTGAACGCCTTCTTGTTTGTTTTTTGGTCTTCCAGACAGGATTTCGCTTGCACTTATTGGTAATTTTCTTGTTGATTTTCATGTATTTAACAGTTGTGCATAAAAGGGTTTATCAGATTAAATCCTGTTTTGATATTGTTGAAAAATAGTCTTTGACTGTGCGTGACTTACAGAGGTTTGGTGAACCAACTATACAGAAGAATACAGTGAATTGTCTTCTTCGTGTCACCTTAGGTTCGTTGGTTTTTTTCCTACATTCAAATCGAAATACTCAGGTTTCCATCATGATTTAAGATGCAGAAATAAAACAGATATTAATGTTCACTGATATTTTTTCTCACTAGCCTTCTAATGATCATTAAGAACGCATTATTGAAATGGATGCATTATTGACAAAAAATAGTAGGTGAAATGGAATTATGTGAAAAGCATCAATTGAAATTTGCTTTTATTCTGTTAACTGACTTATTTTCGATTAGCTGAACGACTATAACAGTTAAATCAAAACAAACTTGCTGTGCTTTCGTTTCAGCCTTCTTGGATGAGTAGTACGGAGGCGGTCATTTAAAATATAAATTTCATCAGGTAGTTGATCGTATGTGATTTAGTATTACATGTTTACAGGAATGGTGTCATCATACAAGATGTTACATTGGTTTGTTTTAAAGGCATTTTATTAACTCTTCGTTTACACAATTTTAATATCTGTTGTGATATTCGCTATACTTTGCGCGAAAACATCTCCAGATTGCTTATAATCTCACGCGTATAATTTGAAGTGCTTATGAGAAACAGAAACGTATACTGTTGAACCTCTTTAGCAGTAACGATCAAAATTCATGCTTTAGACTTAAAAAGAAAGTGGTTAGAAAGCTATTGAGTTTCATTTTATACTGACTGGCTTTATTCCTTCAGAAGATGATATATATATATATCTATATATAGATGGGTGGCTCCAGTAAATCCAATATCATTCAACATCGATTGTAGTCTGGACGCCCTTCGTATCAATGACATCTATTCGCACTAAATCAATCTCTGATAACATGTGGTTTTCGAAATTACGAAAAGATATTTCAGGTAATGAAATTTTCAACTTCAAATTTCTGTATCAGTAGCTCTTAAGGAAATAATGGTTAACTGAAGTGAAGTGCTATTTCTTCAAAAAGTCTAAAATATTAATATTTACTTTATTTTATTATAGCTTGATTCCACACAGTATTTCAATACAAGTACGAAATTTTCAGCATGTGATATCGGTGGCCCAAATTTAGTGGGCCGACCACTGATATCAGGTGTGAATCGGCCGGAGATCTGAAGCCGGACTATGTGCATGGCTGGCGAGCGTCCTAACCGCTGTGCCACTATCAAAGTGGTTTCAGTGACTGTAAGTTATGGAAACTAAACATTTCATGACAGGTATGAAAATAAATGAACTTAAAGCTTCAAATGTTTTTGATTACCTGTCGTTGAACATCAGGCTGAATTTACAGGATAAATGCGTGCTTATTGGATTTTAATTCATCAATAGATTCCGAAACACATTTACCAAACACTTGCTTTATACGTTTACGTCATGATGATCATGTGGCTTTAAAGTAATACAGAGATGCTGGGCTATTCTTTTTAAGTTTTCCCGATCGTAGACAACTCACTATCCAAAATAAAGTAGACAGTTTTCCCTAAGGTACGGTAATAACCACTAGTATTCATCAAATATACTCAGTGTCGTCATTATAATTAACATTGTTATTCGAGTTCTGCTCCCCGTGAACTTCCACGGAGATCTCATTTAGTTGGTTTGTAGCACTTGAACCGAAATGACTTATCTGGAAGCAAAGCTGTCAATCTGTGGAATTGTCTAAATCAGTTGAGCGAAAATCAAAGTATTTTTAACATAGACTTCAAATACGTTGAGCGTAACTGTTGCAACAAACTGATCCATCAAAGATGTTACTTTGTGAGCAGAGTCACTGGTTGCCCTGCCAATTTCTGTAATCCTACCTGCAGTAGTTAACCAACTGGTGAGAAAATCTCAACGTAAATACAAAGTACTTGTTTGTCAATCAGTAATTGGTGCCATTTCTTCAGCCGGTAAAATATCCAATTACTGATAATTGAGTAACTGTCATGTGAACGGGGAGTAGATATACCGGTAGGTGAGTGGATTGTAACCTTCGAAAACTACCTAATTCATCTAACAATTAACAGATAGATTATGCAGAAACAATAACAATAACAATTTGCTTTATTCCAAAACAGCACTAATGTTACAGTGTGGAATTTTCAGCATTTGGTACAATATTGTATCTAATTTTATCGAATAACACTAAAAACAGGTTTAGGAATTATATTACAGGATTGTTAATGGCAGTTCTTATTTGGTATTTGTAGTGACAGCGAAATTATGTATACACAAAAAAGAATTGTAAGTAATAATAATAACGTTAGTAGCTAAGATTGTCAGTCAATTTTATCGAACAACATTTAAAATAGTTTTAGGAATTATATTACAGGTTTGTTAATGCCAATTATATTTGTTATTTGAAGTGAAAATGTAGCCACATTTCTATATGTATGTCCACGAAAATTGTAAATAATAGTAAGGTTAGCAGCTAAGAATATCAGTTAATTGATATAGTATTATTTATCAGAAATGCACAACAGATTTTGTATATTCTTTTCTAGAGATATCAATCAAGAGGAAATTCAAAGCGACAGAAAAATATTTTTAGACAATAATAATCCTCGAAAATGCGTCAATCACAAGAAGCCACCAAATCGATGTATATTAAACTGTCTCATTCAAGGGTGATTTCCAAATCTTTTCATTAAGTGAAGAATGAGAACAGCACTCTGCAGAACTAACTGTGCAATAAAGCTCTTTTTATTAAGATAACGAAATTTATGCCGTCATGCAGACACCCACAGCATTTGGGAGACAATTTCACACTCATTTCTACAACATTTGACAATTTATAGACATGTGTACTCAGGCGTATATAGAGAGGTTCCATCGATTTCCGGAGGGTGAGGCTATGGAGTGCATCTCTTATTGACCGGAAGAACAGATGAAATCCCCTAACTCAATTAACTTCGGAAATAGATAACTGGTTGATTTTAAAAGTGCCTGTGAATTGGATGTTAGTCACATAATTAAATTGATTGAAGAACTAGTCACACAAACACCTCGATATGTTTAATGCATCCAAAAATAATTTGCTATTACTCTGCGGGTGTCTTGGTATTACAATTCCGAAACGAAGCATTATTTTGCGTGATATTGTTCTCACCCCTCATTTTTACTCATCCTTTCCTCACGTCTTATCCATGATTTTACTTCCTGACTAGAAGTAGTGACACGTATCAACCAAATGATGCCTTCCTAATTTCCAGTGTAATTGTCTTTGATATTCGGCAATTAGAGGGGAATCACTGTGTCTTCTTATTAATGAATATTTGTCCTCCTGGTTCAGGAAATATGAAACGTTTGTTTCTAGCAAAACTGATTTCCACGGAAGATCAGGTAGACCTCAGTTTATCTTTGTTGTGACATTTAATGTACTTAAAACATATCCGTGAAGGAGGTATTCTCCCCAATTCTCTCGTTTTGAATACAAATATCTGATTTGAGTTGTTCTGGTTTGCAGAGTAAAGTATGGTGTCATTTCATCTTGGACTGCGTTCCCTGCAAGTCGTGAATTTGTTCAACTAACTGCGAACTCTGTTCAAAGTATTACCAGTTCGATCAGGTGACTAGCTATAATTTAGGTGGTTCGAAATTATTCGTCACTTTGACCTGAGTCAAACTGATGATGAGCCAGGTCTCAAGAGAGAGAAATGACTGCCCTGCACTTACTTCACTTCGGTGTGGCTAGCGGACAAAGCAGCAGAACAACTGGTCTTGAATCCATACGTGAACAGTCTATTCATAATATTCATACTAATTTGAATATTTTAGCTAACTTTTCAATGACTACCCTATTTCTCTTACCTGTTTATCGTACTTCTAACATTTGCATATCTCCTTTCAGCCTCATTTGTTTCGTTTTTTGATGATTCCTATTCACATTGCTTCACTTTGTTGTTATGTGACTGTGTTGGTAACGGTGTACTGTTATGTGATTGTCATTGAGATTGGATACAATATTCTATGGAGTCATGGTTTCACCTTCGACTGTATACAGAAGACGCCTTTTGTTCTGTCTGGTTCTTGCACACACGGTTGTTTGACCCCACGTTATTGGAAGTACACATTCTGACACTCAGTACGTATTTTTTTTACCTGAGTTCAGAACGAAACAAGCACTCATGATTGACGTGAGTGCTATCCAACTACTCATATCAATCAATCGGTCAGCGGTATACATCATCATGCATTTAGGTATTTTATTACCTTTCAGATGAACAGATAGAAGTTTCGCTTCTTAGTTGTGTGTCATCATCGTCATCACCTGCTGACCTATATCTTGAGTCTTCGTTGTACATCTGATGACTAACGTCTCACGAGAGATATAGATTTTGATGAATTTTCATTATCTTTATTGGGCTCAGGATTCTAATTTACTCAATATAATCATCACCAATAAAACTTATGGCAAATGAAAAAGGCATTTTATTAAAATTCACTTCTCATATTTTATGTCTTCCCTTTGAAATTTTGAGAATGAAGTCGGTATTATTATTACTATCGTGCAGTTAAGGTTCAAAATCAGCCACTTCGTCTCTATAGTTACCATTGTGACAATTTGATGATGACAATGCATGATTTTGGTTGGTCCATTTGAATTCACCTTGAGCCAATCAAATAGATAATTCATACTGAAGAATGATTTGAGTAAAATTTCTATTCCATACTACTGTTCATTCATTTGGGTTTACAGAACACTATAAGCGTCAAAAAGTAATTACCAAGTGTGTATAATGCGGCCGCACAGTGAGTGATTTTATTCTTCTTTCAAAGCGATTATTGTCAATTAAGGATGCACAAAAGCTGAGCTCATTTTGATCGCCGTCACATGGATACCACTGCTGCCTCTTCTTCATTTCTGTGTTGAAGACTTCTTCAGCAAGATATCAAAGTCCAGAGAAGCTATATGCCGCGAATCTGTAATCCGCGAAGTGAAAGATGCAGGTGGGGAGAAAGATTGGATTTCCGCTCAAATGATACGTCTTCATGATATGTTCAGTAACTACAGGTGAATCTAAGCGCGGCAAGTGACTTGCAATTTTAATTTTAATATTCTCTGTAATAGAATATTTCCGACTTATAACTGATATATTTAAAACCTCATTGTATAACTGGTATTGGTGGAAGTGTGAATGAGAATCACACTTAGTCGACTGGTGTTCATCTGCATTCATTTACTTCACTAATCCAACCGAAAAGGGATCAACGTCAGCCTGCTGTGGACTTTGTCCACATTTCAGCTTCCTGCCTTGCAGTATCAACATGCTCACATCAGTTACTATAGATAGTTGAGTTGGATATTAGAAGAGGCTCCTTATTTGAAAATCATTCTCTACAGACGACAATTTCAAAGCTCCACAATCACTTTTATATTTCAACTCGTTGTGAAGAACGTTAAAATGTGAACATTTGTTGTGAGAAATCAAGAAAATGATTTAAGCTCATCCAAAACTGTCATAACGGGATAAGACTGGCTTCATTACGACATGCCAGGAGAAGGTTGTGTAAGCTGAGGGAATTCCGACTTCCGTTGACTTCATCGTACAACGAGGTCATAATGGTCTTCTCAGTAAACCAACAGCTATCACCTATTAAAATATGCTTGTTTGGTAAAGCGAAGTAAGTCCTATACAAAACAACACTAAGTAAATTTAATGGAATTTTAGATTTTCCCATCGATTGATTGGACTGAAGTGCTCGCTCTTAGGTTGACATGTCGGCTTCTTGTGTAGATGCATACACGATGCCTGAGCATTTGTAGATGGTGACTAGCAGTGGAATCCAGGATGCATATTTCGTCCTGTTTGGTACTCGTCAGATGGATGTACCTGCATTTCCCAGTGAGTGATGATATTCCCAACGAGGCTCTCGTGGCCCAAGTGGTCAAAAGAATAACGCCTTGGCGTTTGAAGCTATGGGCACTGTGTTCGAGACTCGGTAGGAACATCATCATTCACTGGGAAATGAAGGTAAATCCGGATGACGAGTACCAAATAAGACGAAACGCGCATCCTGGATTCCTTTGCTAATCACCATCAACAAATTATAATCGCTAAGTATAGGCTGCCAAATCTTCAGTAGTTTCGATATGCGCGACTATTTGAAGTATATCTCCATCTTTCACTCTATCCGATATATAATCGAACACCATCCATCCATCTGAAATCGCCTCTTCCTTCTGAGGTAAAAGTGATGCATGTGAATGGAGATTGATTTTGATTGTCTTGCTTGATGATTATCTATCAGTATCACATCATATGTATTTTACATAAAAGTACTTCTTTCTCAGGGAATGTAACTATAATATAAGTGTTAGGTGAAATGCGTTTATTTGTCTGTTTCAAGTGCACCTTCACTGTCAAACGATTTGTTATATGTTGGTGAACACTCATAGCTTTCTTTCGTATTGTGTCATCACATACAAGTAAGTATCTCCTAGTAAGTATCTTTCCTCGTAATCTTGTCCAAATGATGCAAATAACAATAGTGGTGACAAGAGCATTAGTAATATCAACAGCAATGCGATAACGGGTTTTCATCCAATCGAGATGACACTTTCTCTGGCTTTTGCCTCCATATATCTGATTCTATTTTTGAAAAGTAATTTGACGCATCATACACTTATTCCCTCCTTATTTATATACGATGCAGTTACACATACTGACACAATGATATACTCTTCATCGAAGCATGTTTGTTCAAGTTATTTGAAGTCATTCAGACTGTAGAAAAGTCGCAGGTGCCAGTAGAATTGTTCATATATGAATCATTCTGAATACACGTTTCATGTCAAAACCATGACAGAGACACACCAACAATTTCAAATCAACTATATTAGTTTATTGTAGCGATGTTGACCTGTTATATCAAGCGTCTACGAATACCCTGTCTCTGATATGCTGATGAAATCACTCTTTCTGCCATCCGGTTTGTTCATATTTTAGTCAGGACTTTTGTCATTTGTTCGTGCATAGTCTGAAGACCATTAAGTTTTAGTTCACTAAGTGTATATATATTCTAATATCTATTAATATGATACATTGATACATTACCAGAAACTCAACAAAAGATGATTCTGATAAGTGAAGCTTGAATTAGAAATTTCAAACAAGCGAATATAGAAAAAATAAATCATAAAGTAAACTGCAAACCTAAAGGCCACTTTTCAGCTCATAAGTGAAAGTATTTCTGACTACTTGGTGAGTGAGTTCAGTATGAAAATTGATTAGCTCCACTAACTAACTAGTTGTATTTTGAAGATGAATATTTTTCAATGATGAGATTACATTGAGTCATTTGGTTCATTGATAAAATAAATTTCATGAATCTTTTTATTGATTACTAACTGAGTGAGCAGTGAGTAGTGAATTCGAAGCAATTAAACAAGTTGACTGTCATGACAGTGACCTGTAAACTCAGGCATCAACTCATACACGATACTGAATTATTTTGTCCATAAATCAGTTTGTTCTTCTTTAATATTGATTTGTGCTCAATAAGGAGCATATGTTGCTTTAGTTTTCTGACTTCTCTATCTATTCAAATAAAATTTCACTAGATATTGGATACATTAGCATGATAGAATTTTAGGTATTTCCTGTGGATATTTCACTTGTGTTGCCGATTACCCAGTGATTATTTGAATAAGTAGGATGGCGTCCTATGTGATTGATAAGGATTGAAAAGTATGAGGGTGAACAATTTGAAAACGTATCACATTTGCCATGATAGTCTTCTTTGTGAATAGGAACACTTTCAAATTACGAAGTGTCAAGCATGAAAACAATCAACTTCTTTCCACTCGTGGAGTATTTTGCATCATTCTTTTCATACGCTTGGCAAGGTATACGGCTTTGTGTACGAATGTCAATTGAAATAACTAATGGTATTGTAGCCATGATCTTAAATCAGAGAACAGAGTTTTATCAGACCTCTCTATTGTGGTATCACTTCTGATCTACGGATATGAACAAGTTCAGTGTGACAAAGTGCACTCATATATTTTCGTATCATTCTCTTTCATACTCTATGCATCAAAGCAGAAATGCATCCTATTTCATTATAGACTTGTAAATGAAGTCTTAAGTTGCCTTGTATTTTGCTTTCAGTAAGGTGTCGATCAGGTGTCTGATTGTTTAGGGTTCCTTATGTTTAATTGTACACATGTAATCTCAGCGATGCGTGTTCGAAATAACCAATATTATATGCATCCAGTTGTTAATTAATTAAGCGCCCATATTCACAATTTGCACTCTTACTTATAGTAATGATTCATCCGCAAATTTATCCGAAAATGTGTCAATTCTGCTCAAATGTTTTCTTGATTCCTAGCGGAGGAGTAGATAAAGAGCATATACATACACATATATATGTATATATAAACTTGTTTTCTAAATTTACTCTCTCAGATGTCACTGTGTACTCTCATTTCTATACCACTTGTTTTCTTATCAGCCAAAACCACACGAATACACCGCGTACGAGACTGTTTCCAGGTTAGTTCCTCAGTTTACCCATGCAGGTTTTGATCGATTTTGAATTTTAATGATTGATTTTTCTGGGTAATTCAAATGACTGTTACATCGAGAAAATTCAGACCGCTGATAAGCAGACCATTACGCGATCAGAAATACTGTATGCCATCATTTTATTTATCCTACTATCAATTCTCATCTCCTCTTCGCATTTAGTGGATGGATATCGTGAAATTCAATGCAACATGGAATCTGAAGTTAAAACTAGAAATGTAATATTGTGTTCAGTTCAAAGTTTAGTAGTTGGCGCAGTATCAAAACAAGCTGATGCATAGTAAACTTTAAACAATATTACGAACTTTTTCCTTCAACGGTAATCTGATTGATAATTGAACACTGGACTTGTTCACTTTTCGTTCATAGTATCATCTTCAATCGGTCACTCTCATGAGATTCTTCGACGTAGAGCTATACACTACTTGCATGAAATGAAATACACTTCAGTCGGACTGCACAAGATTGCCCAAAGTCTCGAAGAATTCAGTAGTCTGCATGAAAGTAATACAAACATCTCGTCAATCAGAATGTCACTGGAAAGATATGAAATTCAACTACACGAAATCATTGAACACATGGAAGCCCATCTGAAAGAATTGGGTGAAACAGATGGCTTTTCAAGATTTCGAAAAACCGGTTTGAACCAACTCGCTGAAACAGTACAGAAGCGGATTCGACAACTCCAGGTATGCAGAGATTTCATTATTATTATTGTTATTATTATTATCACTATTATTGTTTGAAAATTCTGAAATGAAAGGATTCTTGAAATTACTGCCAGAGTAGACAGCTCTGATGAATGAGTGATTCCGTCCGATATCTTCATTTGGGTGATGAATGAATTGGAGTGGGAATCAGTATCTGGCGTATCAGTCTCGATGATGATTATAGTGAAATGGTGGGCTGATTAGCAGTTGGATCTTGAGTCGCAGTCAATAGAATGTCAGATTAGTGATCCGAAGGACAGTCTTTCGAATCTTGCCACTACCAACATTTTAGTACGAATTTACGTTGTCATATAACAGATGGATATTGATTTTTCAAATTTAGCCTATTTCAGAGAGCTTCAACATAGCCAGGTGTACCTGTAGTATTATTGTAGTATTCTGTCATGATACAAGGCTATCTTCACTCCTTCACTTCTCCTCCCTCTCGTATCTTTGCTTGATTTCAGAGTCCGACAAACTGTCAAACTGCCAAATATATTACATTCGACTTTACGAATTTATGTGGATTCGGATGCTCTGTTCATCAACTAACTGCGTGCTTACATATGGCCTTTGAACTTGAACGAGTTTTGGTTTTGAAGAAGCACTCTTCTGGAGACATTTTCCGTGAATGGCTTAAACAGAACACAATACCACTCTCGGAGAAATGTAGTTATGAAGACTTGAATGATAAAACAGGTGTGTAGATAGTGCTATTGATGCATTGTTGTTGCATCAAAATATATCATGTGAATGTAATTTCATCCCTGAATATGAGAATTCAAATAATGATAGTAATGTCATTAAGCCAAACAGTACGATTGAAACACACATTGGAGTATTCCTCTTTTTAAGTTGATCCTTATTCGAAATACGCGTATAATGTAAAGGCAGAAATTATGAGTTGAGGTAATGTGTGTTTATTGGAACATGACTTTAGTATTCTGAATAAAAGTCTCCACTGAATTATTGATTGCATGGTACTGGTTATCTACTCAACGTGAGATTGAATTCAATGAGTTTCATTGGATAACTTGAAATACGACGAATAAAGTGGCTTACACAGTCGGTGAATTTGTAGTACACGTACTGGTTGTTGCAGGCAGTGAACGGCGTCACTTTGGTGTGTAACTGACCACATTTTCCATCTCTCTGACTCGTCTTCATCAGCAATGACCAAACTAAGACCATAAAACCTACTTCATATTTCACGATGTCGTATGCCACTGATTGAATTATATGAGTAGTCGGACATCACTCACACCAACCAGTATTGCTTCCTAGTCAGATTGAAATGATCTTAACACTAGACGGCCATTTGGTGCCCATTTCGGTCCGAACTCATCAGCGATATGCCTCAATCGAATGAGCTCACATAGCCGAATATTTCCAAATCACGCAAATTCAGGATGGGTACTTGCACAAACTGGTTAGACACTGAATCCTTCATTACCAATTATGGTATAAAGCAGGTGGTATTGTAATCTGAGTGATTTCAGTTTCCCAAGGAGATTGTGGTAGAGGTTCAAGTAGAACTGTGTAACTTGAGAACTGTGAGTTAAACTCTACTCACTTCAATTCCTGAGTGCTCAATCACCCTAGTCAGTTGTCTTTGGTCACCCCATGGTTAGCTGCATTCAAGTCGTAGTGCCACAGTTTCATAGGACAAAGTCACCGGATGTGAGAATAAGTGATGCACTGTTTTGAGACCATAAGTCGTGTAAATAATGCAATGCAGATAGAAAGGTAATGTATGCCAGTGAACAGCTTGATGAGTTTCGACTACAGGGATCAAGCTTCAAATAAATCAGTGGGGAAATTGTAACACGTCAGTGGACAGATTTCTAGGACTTGGTAGATTTGCCTAATCTTAGTGAGAATGTGGTAATAGATAACATGACACTGGCATATACACAGGACAATTGTAATCTGTATATAGATATGCATTATCAACTAACCCACTCAAACCCATTCTCTTCAATCTTCTTCAGATGTTATCGAATGTCCCCTGAGAGCATATATTCCTTGTGACATTGACTGGATTCCAAACGTGCTACCCAGAGATTTAGCTGAAGAATTAATATATTTGCATGAAGCGCCGTATGCCTGGTTTGCTGGTCAATTGACCGCATACGTTTTGCGTCCGAACTTGCATCTTTCTCAGCTAATCAACCAAAGTTTGAGTGGATTTAGGCGGAGTGATCATCCAGTGGTTGGTGTGCACATAAGACGCACAGACAAGGTGAGTGTTCTAATAAACCATCAACTGCATTTGAGTGTAACGTGGTGATGTAATTAAACGGACTGTCTGAACACCAGATGTAAACACTAATGCCAAACTGGGAGCAAACGGCGTAGGAATATAAGTCATCATGGGTCAGGAAACTCTCAGAGAAATGAATGAGAGCGCAGAACTCCTCGCAGACTTCTGGGACTTCACTGCTTCAGTGATTGAGGGCGGCACAGTGGTGCACAAAAAGCGACACAGATCTCACGTGACGGACACTCCGAAAGTCAGATAGACTTCATCTCAATGCTGCTCAAGATAGTGGAGACGCAGCCTGCTGAACACAAAATCGAGAAGTGGAGCAGATGTGAGCACAGACTATTGTGTAGTACAAGGAACACTCAAGGTCAAGTAGAAAAGCTTTGTAGCGACTGTTGTCAGACCATAATTCAAGTTCGACACTCGGAATCTGAAGGACGAAACTACAAGTGTTACCTTCACCACAGATCAGATCATAGCAAAGTCGGAGACACTGCGTGGTAACACTGAAGCAAGCTGAGTAGAAGGACATTGGAGCCACCTCTCTGAAGTTGACGTTCAAGGAAACGCGTACAACCAACTCCATAATGGTTAAGATTTTATTTTGATAAATCACACAGTGTTGTACAGTTATATTAACTGAAGACGTTTCGAGCACAAACTATTGCTCATAATCATATCAAGTTATTAGTTATTATTAGTTATTAGCGTACAACCAAGTCATTGTAGGAAGAAAGAAGCAATACTGGGAATGTCACTCAATGGATGCCTGGAAGGCAACAGGGGAGAGGAGTCGAGGATGGTGGAAGAGGCAATGAATTAATGCAGAGGAGCACAAGAGAAGGAGAAGCTGAGTCCAGTGTACATCGCACTGAACAAAGCAGTGAAGCAGAGTGGTGAGAAAAGCAAAAGACAATACTATGACACACTGATGATTGATGCAGAACAGACAGGCCTCAGGCAAACGAGACAAAACAAACGGAACATTAAATCAGATAACCAGGTTGCTATGCAAGAAGAGATCAACTCAGATGAAACCAACGAAAGGTTGATGAAGCAAATTTAACCAAAAAAGGGGAGAAAAATGGAGGCAATAGACTGCTCAGTTCTAGCAACTCGTCAACCGAACACCAGGTACATTTATCCAGTAATGCCAACAACAGTCACAGGACTGTCAGTGAACACCACCCAGTCGACAATGCCATTACGTCAATGAAAACCAGGAAGGCAGCAGGTTCAGTCAAATAGATTTCCTGCAGACGTACTGTAGGCAGATCTCAACATCTCAGCGGATATCCTCACACAACTACTACAGGAAGTGTGGGAGGAAAGAAGTCTACCTACTGATTGGAAGAAAGGCTACGCTATCAAACTACCAGAAAACTGCAACCTGGGACTTTGCAAATACTGACGTGGAAACATGCTTCTGTCCACGCAAAGCAAACTACTAGCCTGTTTCATGGTAAAGAAACTAAACGACGTTGTGGATGCGAAGTTCCGCCGTCAACAACCTGAATTAAAGTAAAACGAATCCTCTGCTGATCAACTCATGACACAGGAGGTGAATCGAATTCCCTGTCCATTGTTTCTAATCGAAACTAGAAACTATCTCATGATATGTCAGTAATTTTAGTGAAGAAATGAAATTGAGTGAGTGACCAGCAGGCATTGGCGGGGAGGTCATAAGTTGTGTATCTTGTGCACAACGATGAAGAATACTTTGCGAAATTTAGAAAGTTAAGAACGGAAATGTGATGAAGAGAAAACTTGTAGCAGGATGTGTTAGTAGAATTGTTCACTTAGCGAAATCATGTGTCTTTATGACATAATGCATAAAGTCTGCATCGATATCTGAATGTTTCTGTTCACTTTACAACATTATTCATCTGATTGTGTTGAAGAGCAGCAAGCGAAAGTCTAGGAATATCCATCAATGTTTTAACTAATTATACTGAAAGAGAGGAAGAAATGAAGAATCAGGAAGGTTTTTG